TTTCAAGATACTATTGTCAAGCTGGGTATTAAAAATTTATATACTCCAGCTTGAGGAGGGCTGTTAGAATAATTGTTATATTTATTTTGTGTAATTTTGTGTAATTATAGGGTTATATTTATAATTGAGCATAAGTTAATCTTTATGTACATGTACTATTTATCATAACTGAAGTAGTCATTTTTTTCATTTTTTTCTTCGTGCTCTCTTCTTTCCTAAAGACTTCTGATTTCCTTTTATCTTTCTTACAAATATTGATAATCTACAAAACCTTTTCTTTGATTATCAATTTAATTTGTGCAGTAAGTTTAATAAAAATAGCCATTTGTCATTCCAGTTTAAAACAATATAAAAACATCAGTAGGCATAGACTCCCATACATAAAAATGAGGATGAAAACAGGAGGCTCGAGCAATTAGATGAGCCATTTTGTTTTCCTATCTTTTAACACACTAAGTAGATATATTTTATCTCGTTCTTAACAAAGCTCTAGAGTCATCCACGATGTATCTGAACATTGAACTGTTGTTGTTAGTAGAAGTCAGCACTTTGTAAACTAGTAGCATATCTGTTACCACCACTCCCGGTCCTTGAACCCTTTCAACTTGTATTGCAAAGCACTCCAGCAGCCTAAAAGTTCTACGAGGTAAGGTGAGGTGTACCCAGGAATCCTCCCTGAAAAAATGCTCATGACGGTTCCATCAGAGTTTATGATTATTGCCCCATACCCGGTCTCCTTATCTAAGATGGACACAGTATGATCTAAGTTACATTTCTAGAGTTCCTTATCCGAGCTCTGGCTTCTGTGCAGGGTTGTAGTGCGATGCAGTTTCTGCACCATTCCCTTTTGTTGAACTTCTTTGGCCCTCCTCCAATCACAGAGGAATTTTTGCATAAGATATATTGATGTTTGGTGTGCAAACACTCGACCATTCCACAAAAGTTCATTCCTTTCATACCAAATTCGTCACAGACAATAGAGGACCTCAACCATCTCTTTCTTGTTTGAACTATTGTCAAGTTATTTAACCTAACTGATAACACCTTGACCCACCATCCGCAAATAATTACCTTTCAGAATCCCCCAACATCCTATGACCTTTTCACATTAGAAGAAAACATGATACAAAGTCTCTTTTTTATCACATTTGGGACATTGGGTCCGAATATCCATACCTCCTTCTTGTAGTTTGACACGAACAGACAAAGTATTATTCAATAAACGCCACATAAATTGCTTGACTTTTAGGGGACCTCCACTTTCCACATTTGCTTTCATACAGTCGACTCATCCCCCATATGATCACCATTCTCTCCTCTTATAAACCCATAAGTAAATTTTACGACATACTGTCCCTGTTTTAAGGGGATCTAAATGAGCTTGTCTTCTCTGTGTCTCAAGCTTAATGGAATGTTGAGAATAACTTCCGCTTTTTCTTTCTGCAAATAAGCCCCTCATAATGTCTGTATTCCAAGTTAGCTTATCTTTTTCATGAGATTGTCAACCTCCATATTTTCACAATCCAGTGTTCAAAAACTGCGTACCATAAAATTCCTCTCTTTCGGCAGCCACAGGTCACTCCAGACACGAACCTTTCTCCCCGTGCCTATGACCCATCTTAATCAAGACAGTAAAACCAAAGTCTTTTGCTGCAAAAATACTTCATCAATAAAAATTGAGATGAACCTAAACTTGATGTAGAGATATCCTCTTGAGGGAAATATTTTTCTTTGAATACTCTCTTTACTAGTGCATTCAATGAGTTTAGCATTCGCCATAATTACTTACCCAACATAGCTAGATTAAAATCATGGAGGTTCCGAAAGCCCATTTCACTCTTCTCCTTCCTTTTACATAAGCTCTCCCAAGATATCCAGTGCACACTCGTGTTATCTCTTTTTGAACCCCACCAAAATCTATTCATCATTTTCTGTAGCTCATCACATAAAGATAAGGGAAGTTGGAAAACACTCATATAAAATGCAAGTAATGCTTGGGCGACTGATTTTTAAAGCACTTCCCTTACCACCTGTGAAAGGAATTTTTGGTTCCATCCGTTCAGTTTTTTGAAGAGAGATTATCGTAAGAATGTAAATATTTCCTGCTTGGATCGACCTACTAGAGACGATAACCTTAAGTAACAACCGTGGTCAATCACGTTGCGTATCCGCATTAAATTATTCATATAATTCTTTAGGTTTGTAGGCATATTTGCACTAAAAAAGTCCTATACTTTTAGAAGTTAATTGCTTATCTCGATGACACTTTGTAGCTTTGAAGGATCTGTTTCACTTAGACACACTTATCAGCGTTTGCACGAAAGAAGAAGAAAGAATCATCAGCAAACAATATTAGGTCCCAATCAAAGCAAAGATTAAGAATTAGCTTTTCTACTAGAGGTGAGAAAAGAAAATTAGAAAATTGAGTTTTTTATTCACTACCTTCTTCAATCTTCGAAGGTCTTTAAATAACTGAAAATGAACTATAAGATAAGGATACATTTATATTTCTACGAACATGAAATTCAAATAAAGGATAAGGGATACTTCGGTTGTGGAGAGCTGCTATTGTAGAGTGGCTATTGTTGGCGTGATTTTTCAATTAAGTAGGGGATATTGTTGACTGGTTCTGTAGGGATGAATGAACTGAAGGCTGTACGTGCTTCAATTCAGATACTTTGGATTCCTTGTGGGTACCCGTTAGGATCTTCGGATCCTAACATCACTCCCCCCTTTTTTGAGCAATCTTGTCCTCAAGGTTGGGAAATTGAGTAATGAGGTCGGCCATATTTTCCCAAGTGGCGTCTTCGGCTGGCATATTCTTCCATTGCACTAGGCTTTGTTCCACAAGTTTACCTCCTTTTCTAAGCCAATATGTGTCCAGAATCTGATGTGGTTGGAGTAGAACATTTCCCTCATTGATGGTAGTGGGAAGGTCTTTGGTGGTGAAGACGGAGTTGCCCATTTTTTTTTTGAGCAAGAAAACATGGAAGACTGGATGAATATGAGCTTCTGCAAGTAGCTTGAGTTTATAGGCGACTGGGCTAATGCGTTGCTCAATCTGGTAGGGACCATAGAATCGATAAGCTAATTTTTGAAGGGTTCGTTGGAAGAGAGTCTGCCGACGGTAGCGTTCTAACTTGAGAAAAACCCAGTCACCTCCTTGGAAATCCACGTGGCATCTCTTGGTGTTGGCATATTACTGCATACTATTATTGGTGGCCTGGAGGTTGGCTTTACATTGCTGTTTTAATTCATTGTGCCTAATCAATTGTTGATCCACTTCATTGACAAGAGTCATACCTGAATGATAGTATAGAATGGTGGGTGGAGGTCTCATGTATAAAGCCTATAATGGAGTCATTTTGATGGAGGAGTGATAGGTAATGTTGTACCAGAATTCAGCCAACGAAAGCATAGAACTCCATTTATTTTACCGTTGATGTCCTAAATACCTTAGATATTGTTCGAGACATCGGTTGACTACCTCAAACTGACCATCTGTTTGTGGGTAGTAAGCTGAATTCATCTTAAGTTGAGTACCTAATATTTTAAAAAATTCACTCCAGAAATGACTTACAAAGATTGGGTCTCGGTCGCTAACTATGGTGCGAGGCATTCCATGTAGTTTTACTACTCCTTCTACAAATTATTTTGCTACAAGTTTTGCTGTGTAAGGGTGGCTCAGAGCTAGGAAGTGTGCAGACTTGTTGAGCTGATCAACTACTACCAGAATGGTGTTCTTGTCACCGGAGGGGGGTAACCCTTTGATGTCATCCCAAACTTGACAGGGAATAGACAAGGGTTATAGAAGGCCTGTTGGTGCTAGGATTTCTGTCTTGGCTTTTTGGCATACTTCACAAGCGGACACATTTCTGTATTAATTTTTTTCATGCTCAGCCAATAGAATTGTTGTATCAGTCACTTGTAAGTTTGCAGGATTCCTAAATACCCTCCTAATGGTGAATCATAGTAGGCTTGTAGGAGTTGTGGGATCAAGTGAGATCCAAGGGTATGACCACTAAGTTCTTGTAATAAATCAATCTATTTTTCTATGCATATGGCCCACCATTTTTTTCCTTTGCCACAATGTTGAGTTTCTTAATGTAGGGATGTTGTTCTGTTTTTTGCCAGATCTCTTCCCATATCTGATGTTGTTGGATGAATAAAGCTTCCAAAGAGGGACTTGTAGCTTGCCTGGAGAAAGCATCTGCTACTACATTTTTTTTTCCTGGTTTGTGAGTGATCTCATAGTCGTATCCGAACAATTAGGATATCTATTTCTGTTGTTCTGGGGTGGTAATTCTTTGTTATAATAAGTGTTTGAGGCTGCGTTGATATGTCTGGATAAAAAACTTTTGTCTGATTAGATACAGTCTCCAAGTCTATACTGCAATGACAACTGCCAACATCTCTTTGGCATAGCTGGAACAGGAATGCTTCGAGACCCCCAAAGCCCAACTTAAGTAGGCCACTAATTTTCCTTGTTGGGTGAAAACTACTCCTATTTCACCCCTAGATGCATCAATCTCAATGGTAAATGGCTCACTGAAGTTAGTTAGAGCTAAGGTTGGGGTGGAAGTCATGACTTACTTCAAACTCTTAAAAGCCTTTTCCACATCTTCATTCCATTCGAATTAACCTTTCTTGAGGATGTGTGTCAATGGCCGGAGTTCTGTAACAGTGGTAGGTCTTGGCTAGTCTAACATTGTCTGAATCTTATTTTGATCAATTTGGACCCCTTGTGGTGTGATTATGCGGTCCAAATATTCTAGTTCTTGTTGCCCAAATACACACTTCTTGAGTTTGACAAAGAATTTGTGCTATTTTAGAACTTCAAACATTTACTGGACATTCATCAAATGGGATAGCTAATCGGGGCTGTACACTAGAATATCATCAAAAAAGACTAACACATATTTGTGCAGGTATGGCCAGAATATGATATTCATTATAGCTTGGAATGTAGAAGGAGCATTACATAGTCCAAAGGGCATTACCAGATATTCATAGCAGCCGTTGTGAGTTCAAAATGTTGTCTTATGGACATCCTCCGGATGGACTCTTATCTGATGGTACTCGAAGGTGAGATCAAACTTGGTAAAGTACGTGGCACCGTACAATTCATCGAGCATTTCGTCTACTGTCGAAATGGAAAAAGTCATTGATGGTGACTGTATTGAGTGCTCGAAAGTCTGTGCAAAAGTACTAAGGGTTGTCTTTCTTTTTGACTAATAGAACAGGGGAAGAAAAAGGACTAGTATTTGGGCGGATGAGCCCTGAAGTGATCATGCATCAACCTGCTTTTTAAATTCTGCTTTTTAGAATTATGCATACCTATAAGGCTAAACATTGACCAGTTCACTCCCCTCATTGAGTTTGATGCGGTGTTTAATTTTTCTTACAGGGGATAGCCGATCAGGCTCCTCAAAGAGACTCGAAAACTCATCTGGCAGCTTCTGTAATTCTAGGTTGGGGGCTGTGGTGCCGGCTGGTTTGATAGTGAACAAGCAGACGACATATAGGGATGACCGATGGTAGGTTTCCCTACTGATTTCCTCTAGTAATGTGACCTGAATCTGTGGGGCATCGAGGCCGCGTAGGTGTTACGCTTGGTTGTGCCACTGGAAGGTCATGGTGAGATTCTTTCAGTCGCATGTTACGGTGTTGTGGCCTTCTAAGCACTGGACGCCTAAAACAACATCCAACCCCATTAGTGGTAATGAAAAGAGTGTGAGTGAGAAAGAGGTACCTTGAATTTGTAGAGGCACTTTGTCGAATCAACCTTGGCATTTAATAGCTTTGTCGTCCGCCACTTTCACAGAGAAAGGGGATGTTGGCACGATTGTGAGTTGCAATCGGCTTGCCACTTTTTCACTTATTAAGTTTGATGCGGTGTTCAATTTTTCTTACTGGGGGTAGCCGATCGGGCTCCTCAAAGAGACCCGAAAACTCATCCAGCAGCTTCTGTAATTCTGGTTTGGAGGTTGTGGTGCCAGTTGGTTTGATAGTGAATAAGCAGACGACATATAGGGACGACCGACGGTAAGTTTTCCTACTGATTTCCTCCAGTGATGCAGCTTGAATCGGTGGGGTGTCGAGGCCGCGCAGGTGCTGAGTTTGATTGTGCCACTTGAAGGTCATGGTGAGATTCTTTCAGTCGACGTTATGGTGTCGAGGCCTTCTAGCCACTAGACACCCAAAACAACATCCAACCCCATCAGTAGTAATGAAAAAAGTGTGAGTGAGAAAAAGGTACCTTGGATTTGCAGAGGCATTTTGTCGAATTAACCTTAGCATTTCATAGCTTTGTCGTCCGCCACTTTCATAGAGAAGGGGTTGTTAGCACGACTGTGAGTTACAATCAGCTTACCACTTTTTCATTGACTAAGTTGTGTGTGGAGTCGTTGTTGATGAGGGCGACGACCTCCTAGTGTCCAATGGTGACAGTGACTTGCATGGGGCGAGCTAGGGTCCAACCTGTAAGGGAATGTAAGGATATTTTTGGTTTGGGACCCTCTGTTTCTTCATCTTCTTCACCACCCCCTTCAAGTAACAAGAGCTGAGGTTTGCGATATCAGTGGCTGGCCGTGAAGCGTTCGTCGCAGTTAAAGCATAGTCCTTGAGCTTTTCTTCAAAATATTTCTTCCCAGTTTAGCCTATTTGGTGCGGTTGTGGATTGACTAGGGTTCGAGGAAGTGGACTGGGTAAGGATGAAGATTGTTGGACGAGTTGGATCCTCACAGGCCAACTCAACCTGTTTTGTCGATCCACCTGCTCTTCCCTTATGCAGGCTAAGCCTATGGCATCTCTCAGTGTTCTAGGCTTGAACATATGTATACCATCGATGATTTCAAGCTTAAGCCCACCGATGAAGGCCCCCACCAGGGCCTGTTGGGGCCACCTCTGGACCTAATTGCCTAGTCATTCAAATTCTCTCTAGTACTCGCGAAGTGGGCCGATTTGTTTGATGTGGGCTAGGGCCTCGTCAAAATCTTTAAAATCTTTGGCCTGAAACGAGCCCACAACTCAGCTTCAAACCTGTTTCAGGTGAGTTCTTTTTCTTCTTCTCTGTAGTTCTGGCTCAACCACTGCACCACTGGTTGGCCTCCCATTCCATATGGTAGGATGCAAGGGATACCTTGTATGGCTTGGCGATCCCTTGGTAAGAGAAGAAGTGACCAACTCAACACAATCACTCGGTAGGGTCTCCTCTGGTAAAAACCAAAAACTCTAGCTTGGCGAGTTTGGAATAGAATGGGGCTCGATCGTTGTCTTCGGGTTACAGGGTTTCGTGGCGGATTGTGGGTGGTAGGCTGGGTCGAGGAGGATGATGGCTATTGAAGCCTTCTTTGCCCAAGGCGATGGCGTCGGTGAGTCATTGAAGGGACTCTTCAACCATTCGAAATCGGTTGGCCATTCTAATTTCCATACGGCTAAGATGGTCTTGTACTCCGCCGAGGCTCATCTCCAAATTTTCGATTCGCTCCTTGTTGGTCCACATAGAAACCTGCTCTGATACCATTGTTAGGTCTCAATCAAAACAAGAATTAAGAGATAGTTTTTCTATTTGAGGTGAAAAAAGAAAACTAAAAAGTTAAAATTTTTATTTATTGCCTTTTTCAATCTTCGAATGTATTTAAATACATAAAAATGAACTACAAGATAAGGATAAATTCATACTTTTACGAACATGAAATTCAAATAAAGGATAAGGGATACTCTAGTTGTGGAGAGCTGTTGCTACAGAGTGGCTGTTGGTGGCGCGGTTCTTCAGCTAAGTAGGGGATATTGTTGATCGGTTCTGTAGGGATAAAGGAACTGACGGCTGCACGTGCTTCAATCCAAATACTTTGAGTTCCTTGTGGATACCCGTTAAGATCTTCGGATCCTAACAAACAAGATGTGGTAAATAGTAGGAGTCCACCTACAAATATTCACCCCATGAATTACATCAGTTGCTTCCACCTTTTTAAATAAAGAGGATAAACCCTCTACACACCGAATGAAAAAATAAAGAGATAATGAATATCCCCGCCATAGTCATTAATGGGGCGTAGTGGGGCCAATCTCTTTCTTATTTAGGTTCACCATTAGATATATATAGTTGTTGAATTAAAAAAATAAAAATTTTTATTTTCATTAAAATACTCAACTTGAAATAGTAAAATAAAAAATATTCATTTTAAGAAAAAGATGTCACACCCCGATACTCGATGTGAGGTGCAATTCCTGCTTATGCTATTTCATGCAGTGGACCCATAAAATATATACATACGTAGGTAAAAAAAATATAATACAACCTAGCATCCCATGTGACATATACAGTAACTATATATACAAAACATGATATCGAAATTTAGAGTCTAACATAATAAAATATAACTTTTTGAATATGCACAAAATATTCAAAAACAAGAACCTTTTTACAAGTTCTATTCGTCTAGCAGCGGTGTTGACTCTTCATTCTCTTTTGAAAAATATCAGGGTAAAATTTAATGAGCTTCACCAACTCAATAAGTATTTTCGTTCTCTCAACACAGATAAAATTTCATGCAAAAAACATAATAAAAAATAAAAGCAATTAAAAATATTTCAGTGCAAAATTCATATTCTTATTTTCATTCTTTCACATGTTTTTAATCGATATGATGAATTCTCTCAAATATCATATACAAACCTCAAATATATATTCTCATACTCTTGAAAGTAATAAATGCACTTGAATATCAATTGTCATTTCAAAACATAAACACACACATAAAATATCATAGATACACTCGAAAGGTTATTTATAAGGTTTTATCACGCGATGTCGTTTATGTCATCATCGAAAAAATGCAAAATGGATCCTCCCATCGCATGGATAACATACACACAAATCATACAATGGCCACATCAGGTACGTTTGCTAGGTGACCCACACTCATATAAAGCCTATCCACGTTTGGATTAGGTTTCAGACTCTATCCATGTGCAGGTTCACCATACCTGCTGAACTTCAATCATACGCACACACTCTCATCCTCGATTCAAACTAAACGAGAAGGTATTCAGGGCCCTATCCTATTCACTCCTACTCTCTCATTCCAAAATTCTTTATTTGTTTAAATGATTATTTCTTAACCTCAATTATTTATTTTCCTTTTTATTTTTACATTTTTATTTTATTTCTTTTTTTTCAATTTTTCTTTAACTGAGAATTTTTCTTTTCAATTTTATATTTCATTAGTCCAAATAACTCTCAGTCCATTGAGTCTGTTTTCTGGTTTCGTCTCCTCATAGGGTTCCAATTGGTTAGGTTTATTTATCATAATTTGGGTTCTGTTTTTCCATCGAAATTGGGCCAATGTCTGTTCAAATTTTAAAATTCATAATTTTTATAAAATGAATGCACTTTTCGAAATTCCAACTCGGTTGAGATTTAGAAATACTTACTCTCCTACGCGTCTTCCAAATCCGCTTGAATGTCCAAATTTTTCTGTACACACGACATAATTAATTAAAATACTTCAAAATCTAAAAATTAATTGAATCAAATTACGGGGTTCCAATGACCACCTAACGAAATCCCTGAAATTATCAGGATCTGTATCCAAAAAATCTTTCGGCTCCCCATTCGGGGAATCAGATTTCTATTTTTCGAGAAAAACTTTTCAGCTTTCTGGACAACAAACCAGATTCTTGTTTTTTGAGTAAGACTTTTCAGCTTTTCGAACGATGAATCGAAACCCCAAAATGGTGGATCGGGTTTCCATGCTCAAGAAAGACCCTTCAGGCTTCCTGCATGGGTCAGCTTTTCCCATTCCTGAGGAAACTTCCTCGGTTCCTGCGCAGGTGGGTGGCCTGACCGAGCTCGTGCGGCCAGCCCGACACCAGCCCCATTCCACCACCGTCTAAACCATCACCCAAAACATTGAAATAAACGATTTTACCTTCAGTACGAGTAGTTCGGCCTCGGCTTGGCTCTTGGTGGTCTCCTTTCAGTCACCCCACAACTCTTTAGCTGGTTTGAGATTTGGATGGTGATTTGTCAAACGTACAGACCAATTATTAAGCAAAATAAAAGAATCTAATGAAGTAGGAAGAGAAGAACGAAAAAAAAAAGGACGCAACTTACCTTTGCTTACATCGATCTCCACTTTCCCACGATGTCTCGGTTCAGCTTCCACCCTCTCCTGCCTCCGCCCCTCTTTTCTTTTCTTTCTCTCTCGCGGCGGCCACTCTTTGGCTCCCCTTATATTTTTTGTTCGGCTACTCCTCTCTTTTTTTCTCCTTCCTTCTTTTTCTCTCCTTTCCCTTCCTCTTTCCGGCCTCTCTCTTCTTTCCTCTCTCTTTTCTCTCTCTCAGCTTCTTCATGTTCGCCTCTCTCTCTCTTTCTCCCTTCCTATATTCAGCTTTTTCTCTCAAAATGAAAAAAAAAAACCTAATCTCTTCCTCTTTTATAACCACTTTTATTTAGATCCTTGAAATTAATTAAAAGCTCCAAATTTTAAAAATTCTTTTCATTTACATCCAAACTCTAATTTTATTTATTTATTTATTTCTCTTAGGTGGATATTACAAAAGATACTAAAAATAAAATTTTAAAAAATTTAAACCAATATTAGAATTTTTTGTTTTTAAAATAATTTGTATTATAATTTTGTTTCAAATAAAATTCAAACTCTAACAAGTCAACATCTTTGAAAAGATTAATTCTGTTTAAAATACGTTTTCTTTTTGTAAAGAGTCCATACTCTGGTTTATTTTAAAATATTAAAGTAACTTGTTTTTGAAATAAATAATTTTGTTTTTTCATTCAACAAGTTCATGTTGTATGGTAACTAAATTACTGATTTGTCTTAAATTTTGGTGATATTTATCTATATTTTGAGAATAATTTATTTGAATTTTCTTTGTATTTATCCTGAAAAATATTTAATATATATTCTATAGAGTTTTTATTTGTGAAGAACTCTGTTAGTTTCTCTATAAATAGGTTTGCCGACCTATTTGTGATGTACTCTCATATTACATAGTGGAATTTGTTTTTGCTGGTCTTGCCCGTGAATGTAGATATACTACCGAACCACATAAAATACTTGTGTTCTTTTCTTTCTACTTTTACTTTAATATGATTGTGCATGCTTTAAAGATTAATTTTTCCCAATAAGTGGTATCAGAGCTCTAGTTTCAGCTGGGTTAGAGAGAAAAAACATATCAGTCAATGAAAAAAAAAATTAAATTAAATATGGTTTTTTTCTGGTTACTTGAAGAAGGTGAACCATGCAAAGAGGCCAAAACGGCGAACGACACGACTTGAATGGACTAAACGGTTCGTTCTCATATCCGTTCGACTAGATCAACCAGGGAGAAAGCTAGATTGTGCGAGCGGCGACCGGCAAAATCAGACCTGAAACGGAGAAGCTCGGACGTGTGGCGACTCACATGAAGGAAACCAACTTGCTCGAAGAGGAGGGCTAGAGAAGAGAAACCAAAGGTGGATCCACAACGTCCGGCCCCGTCTGTGTGTGAAACTAGAGCCAGAGAAGGAGAATGTGCACCGGAGAAAATAAACCAGCGTGGTGGCACCCAGTTCACGCAAGGCCTGATTGCAGGGTTTCTGGCATGTTTTCAGCACATTTTCACTAGATCTGTGCTGGATTCATTGAGCCGCACATTTATGTGATTTTTTAGTGTTTTCGGCGGTGGTAAGAGGCGGCCGAAAACCGCGTGTGACATCTTCGGCGGTCGCGCGTGTGACATCTTCGGCGGTCGCGCCTGTGACAGCGCGTGAAGGGGCGTGGAGGCACGTGTTGTGTTTGGCTGTTTTTTGTGCAATGATAACTCCCTGTTTGCTTTTTGACAATGATTTTTCTCTCTGTTTGATTTTTTGGTGCATAATTTATAGATTCAAGATGACATCTACAAAGTATAAGATAGAAAAGTTTGATGGTAGTACGAATTTTAGTCTGTAAAAAATTAGAATGAGATCGTCCCTAGTACTATAAGGTTTGTGGGGGACAATTAAAAAAAGATACCCTGAGGATATGAGAAAGTCAGAAAATGCAAGTATGTAGGATAGAGCCTTATGTGCAATTTTTATGAGTGTCAATGACAATGTTCTGCGAAAGATTGCTAAAGAAATTTTAGCTTCAACTGCGTGGAAGAAACTAGAAGATTTGTACTCTGTTAAATTGCTTACGAACTGCCTTTATCTGAAGAAAATGATGTATAATTTCAGAATGAGTGAAGGTACGCATATTAAACAACACTTTGATGAGTTTAATTCTTTAATTATAGATCTGAATAACATAGATATTAAGATTGAAAATAAAAATTAGATATTAATTATTTTTTATTCATTACCATATTCTTATGAGACTTTTGTTGATACTCTACTGTATGAGAAATCTAGTATTTCACTAGAGGATGTTAGCAATGCACTAAAATCAAAATAGTTACAAAAGAACTTTATTGAGTATAGAACAGAAGGAGAAGGTTTAATAAGCAGGGGAAGGACACAGAAAATGAGCAAATCAAAATCTAGAGGTAAAAAGGAAAATTGTTTTGAGTGGGGGGAGAATGATCACTTTAGGAGAGATTGTCTCATGTTGAAGAGAGAAAAAAAGCAGGAGAGTTCTGTTAATATAGTCAACAGGGATAATTCTAATGATAATGATAACAACAATGTTAGAGTAGTTCTATCTGTGAATTCAAATCATAAAAAGAACACTTAGATTCTTGATTATGGTGCTACATTCCACATGTATCCACATATGCATTAGTTTGCTACTTACAAGCAGATAAATGGTACTGTGTATATGAGAAATGACAGTTCGTTATATGTAGCTGGGATTGGTAATATCATATTAAGAATGTTTGATGGTATCATAAGAACTATTAAGTGTTGCCATGTTCCTCAGATGAAGAAGAATCTAATTTCTCTTTCTACATTGGTGACTCAGACTACAAATATCATGCAGAGAAATGGTACTCTTAAAATGTGTAAAGACTCGAGGTACTCATGAAAAGCAGTTTAGAATCTAAATTGTATGTTTTTTAGGAAAATGTAATTTTAGGGGAAGCTGTTGTAGCATCAGGGAACAGTAATCAGAATCAATTGTGACATTTATATTTGGGTCATATGAGTGATAAGAAGTTATCTGTTTTGAGCAGGCAAAGTTTATTGAATGAGTATAAAGAAGTAGCTTTGGGTTTATGTGAATACTGTGTGTTTGGCAAATAGACCAGAGTGAAGTTCAACAAAAAGGCAGTGTACAAAACCAGAGGTAAGTTGGATTATGTTCATTCAGACTTATGGGGTCAATACAGAGTTTCCTCCAAGAGTGGTGTTAGACACTTTATGACATTGATTGATGATTATTTTAGGAAGGTATTAGTGTATTTTATGAAATCTAAGAAAGAGACATTTTCAACATTTTTTATATAGAAGACCATAATTGAGAAGCATACAGAAAGGAAGATCAAATGTCTTAGGACTGACAATGTGTTAAAATTTTACAATCATGAGTTTGATGACTTTTGCAATACGGAAAGTATAGTGAGATACCGCACTTGTGTTGGGATACCACAACATAACTGTATTACCGAATGCATAAATAAGATGTTTTGTGATAGGACACGAAGTATGTTGTCTCATTTAGGTATGAGACAAGAATTTTGGGCTGAAGCTGTGAATACTGCTAATTTCTTGGTTAATAGATCTCCATCCACAACTATTGAGAGTAAGACTCATTTTGAGATACGGTCTGGGTCACATGCTGATTACTCTTAGTTGAGAATGTTTGGTTGTCCTACTTATGCTCATATTAGGGATAGTAAGCTTGAGCCGATGGCAAAAAAATACATATTTCTGGGATATGCATCTTGAGTGAAAGGTTATAGGTTGTAATGTAATGATCCCAAATCTCGAGGGTTAATTATCAGCAAAGATGTGACATTTAATGAGTCTACTTCATTAGACATTCAGAAGGAGAAAACAATAGTAGAATCATATCACGATGTCAAAGAACAAGCAGAATTAGAAGTTCAGTCCAATAGTCTTGAGAATGAAGCGCATGATCTTAATCAAGAAAGTGATTGTGACCTGATCAACAATAACCATATAGTATTGCAACAGGCAGGGAGAGAAGACAGATCAGACGACCACAGAAGTATCAGAATCTGGTTGCATATAACTTGTCAGTTGCAGGACCAATTGATTTGTAGGAACCAGGTAGTTCAAATGTTGATCAAATGATCGGTGTTGTGTGTGAAGAACTTGATGGCAGATGTCATTATGTTCAGGGATTAAATAGCAAGTTTAGGTGCGGCTTAAACTTGATTGGAGTATATGATACTCAATAGCGCCCTAATGAGGGCATGTTGGCAAGACAGTGCGACAAAATGGTTAGCTGCTTTGATGATAGAGGAAATTCAAGCCAATAGGAAGATTTATTGATGTATCTTGAATTTTGACAATATTTATCTATATTTTGGAGATAATTTATTTAAATTTTCTTCATATTTATTTTAAAAAATATTTAATATATATCCTATAGAGTTTTTATTTATGAAAAATTCTGCTAATTTCTCTATAAATAAGTTTATTAATCTATTAATGATGTACTCTCACATTACATAATGAAATTCTTTCTTACCAATCTTGCCGTGAATATAGGCACATTACCAAACTATGTAAAATACTTGTATTTTTTTTTTTTTTTGCTTTTATTTTGGTGTGATTGTACATGTTTTAGAAATTAATTTTTTCCAACATTAGTTTTTCTTGACAATTTTGTATCCGGATCTTGTTGGGTAGATGGGTCGGTCTGCAAATTTCCAACCTTGACTTAAAACCGAATATCTTGATACAAGCAAACATGCAACTCTAAGTCAAAGCTCCATCATACCATTTATATGAATATAAATAATTTCATGTTGTTATTCAACAAGTTCATGTTGCATGGCAATCAAACTTTTCTTGATAATTTGTGTTCATCTCTTGTTAGGTAGATGGGTCCATTCTGCAATTTCCAATCGACATTAAACTACTATATGGATACAAAAAAAAATGCAGCAAGCAAAGGACCGTAAAGGCTCCAGCAAGCAAGTGTAATTCAACAAAAATCTGACAAATTCAAACACAATTTAAGTAGAACCATAATTGAGAGAATGAAGAATTCCCTCCAATCATATTCTTCCACCAAGTTGGTAAGATGAAGATAACTATTTCTGGTCCAGATTATGTCAATGTAGCTACAAATGCACATCGAAGGATATCACCAGGAAAAAAGTAACGAGAGCGGTCTACTTCAAAACCATATTACAAGAAGCTACTCCTTATCAAAGTAAGGAGCTACAAGCCATCTGTCATCGCACACACACCCTATGCAACACAACCTCCACATATGATACCCCTGCATTGGACAAAATTACATGTCTATTACTACGATGAAAACCATATGTCATTACATGTAGGTGCAAATTATCAGTTCTGGAATCTGCCTGTTCCTTTTCTCAAAAAGAAAAAGAGAAAAGATATGCCGACGTCATAACTAGACATGAGCATATCATGATAAATGACACTCTAATAGTTTTCAAATGATTCAATCATGGAATTGGACCCATAGACTCACCATTACTGAATATATATCAATCCATGAGCTCTTTACTGATTTTGGTTCACATTAAACGTACCAGTGTTCGTTCGGTATGAGAATACACTGCTACTGTAAAACAATGAACTACAAGAGAGATTTGCTTTCATATTTTTATTAGTGGACCTTGTTCTTTTGGAGATTATTTCTAATACCAGGAGGCAAATTTTTGTTTAACTGACATGATCTTATAATTATCCTCTATAAGACAAATTTTTCATTATATTTTTTTTTTCACTTCAATCACCAGCAGCACACTGCTATGTCCACCTTTTCTAAATTCAGCTTACTTTTCCCACCTAAATGCTTCTGACTCATTTTTGTAATAATCCAAATGCTTTTCTTGCTGACACAATTGCTTTTTCCATAAGGTCTTGCATACACTGCTTTTACGGTCCTTTACATGAATTTGTCAAAGGCTATTCCATTTATCACGGACTAACTCTTTCAAGCAAGACCCAATAAAACTGCCCCGTGGAAAGAGTTGGAACTTCTTTCATACTTCCCCCATTAGTTTATCTTTACCGATATGAAAAAATATCCCCATTTTTAATAAGCCTAATGCATATAATTTAGCTCCTGGAAAGCATATCCAGACGTAAAGTCCAAGCCAAAGAACACTAGCAGCAAAACAATGAAGCACTTACACCACAGAGCAGGCAGACCTGCGTCTTTTCTTCCTTGTCACGTCCTTTCTTCTTGGAGGTTGAAGAACAACTTTGATTGCAGTATCAAAAACAGCTTTGACATTCTAAGCAATTAAACAGAAAGTTCATTCATCAAATAAAAGAAGAAATGAATAATGTTTAAGTGCAGTATCACAAAGCTAACTCTGGTCATTCTTAAAGTATCAAAACTAGCTACCTGCTGAGTTTTAGAACTGCACTCAATATAAGCTGCTGCACCAATTTGCTTCCTCAATTCCTCTCCCTGTTCATTATAAAGCCAAATTAATCAGCTGGCCACAAATGTAATTTGACCAAAAAACCAAGCACCATCTAAACATTAACCATGTAAACAAACTCATGACATACCTGAGCGGATGTTATGATGTTAGCATCATCTACTAGAAATCCTCTTTCTTCGCGAAGATCTGATTAGATAATAGGAACATACCCATTAAGTCATAAAACTTTTGTCCACCGCATGGATGCAGACAGTATGCATCATCACAGTGTGGTATTCTCGGAAACTTACCTAACTTTGTTCCAACAAGATCAATTGGACATTGGGGCAAATCGACGAAGTTCAGGCATCCACTGAGAAACAGAATGAAACAAAAAAATTTATAGGTATTGATGTTGCAGAATTTGAACTCTAATACCAAGTGCTCTTTGGTTGATGAAAGACCCAATTTTCCAACTTCAGGACCAGATAAAATTACTACTATGCCTGAACAAATGCGAAGCAGTTAACCATATATTCCTTTGAATTGAAAAGATAATGACCCACTTTTTTCAGACATGATCTAAAAATATGAACAGTATAGGCAAAGAGAAAATAAGAAAAAGTATTAAAAAAATGCAGGATAAAAAAATTAAAAACAAAAAGATATCAGCACTAAGATTATTAAAGGATACCTTCTTGAGGACATTTTCATAGCTTGCCCTACTAATTAGTGAAAAAGCCAAGACAAAGATGTCAGCACCTCTGTAACTTAGTGGCCTCAACCTGCTATAATCCTCCTGACCTTTTGAATTTAAAGGTACAAAAAGGGATACCAAATTACAAAGGAAGCTCTAACAATTATCAACAAATAGATGTATCACCAACAGGAAACAAAGAACACATCAAAACCCAAAATACCAGCAGTGTCCCATAATCCCAAATTCACAATGCTTCCATCAACAGCCACATTTGCACTGAAATTATCGAACACCGTTGGTATGTAATCCTGCAAAACAAAGAGGCACATAACATCATTGACAGTAAAGCACGGCAGAAGATAACGAATCTTCAAAATGCATTATCCCAATATGGTTCAAAATTAGAAACCAAAGAATAAAAAACAAACAAGAAAACAAATTATTTTGGAGAACCAATTTCGATTGATGAAAAACCCAAATAGAAATACCAAAAAAGAGGCCATAATAATAAATGTTGCAAAAACAAGGACACTGCATTAAAAGAAAAGAGAAAAAGAAAGAAAGAAAGAAATGTATTTCCTCTGCCTCGTGTATGGTGGGTCTTGGATTAAGAAACTTACAGTGGGGAACTTGTTGCTTGTATAACAAATAAGCATACAGGTCTTGCCCACAGCTCCATCTCCAACTGTAACACATTTAATGAACTTTGAAGCACTCATTTCTCTTAAACCCCAACAAGCTGTTAGCTGCAGCGCTAGGTATCTATTTAAAACTTACTTAAAAGTTCACAACTATAGCTATAACGAGTTGCCTCAAACAGAAGCGGGCAAAACAAAAAAGGGAGAAGAAGCAGAGAAGACGAAGAAGAATAAAGAAGAAGAAGACAGAACAGTGTCTGGATATGCTCAAAGGTAAGTATATAATATAGAGACCGCTGTTATAGTTTCAAGAAATAAATGAATTATCTCATAATAAACAAGAAATAAATCAATTAAAAATAGACCAAATAGAGAGAGAAGATGGTTGTTTGAAGTCAAAGCCTCAAAGAGCGTCTCTCTCTCTCTCTCTCTCTCTCTCTCTGCACTTTATCGTCCCTCTCAATGAATTTGAAAAAACCCAACACAAACATATTTTGAAAGAAAGAAATGGGTCCCTCTCTCGAACGGGCAGCTACCTATACATGGACTATATGTGTATGGCACCCTTGATTTTGTTGGCTTCCAGCTTGTTGCAGGCTTCTAGGCTTAAGCTACAGTGAAAGACACTATTTTTGGCTGGCTTGATCAACAAGATCACATAATCTTGTAATAATATAATTTTACTTTAACTAAGAGTTTTTATTTTAAATTATAACTCGTTGTTATTTTGTAATAATGTATTGGTTTTTTTTTTTTTTTGTGAAAATCATTTTTCATATTTAACTGGCAATTTTTGCAGTAAAAAAATAATTGTACAAATATGTTCATTAAAAAACCTAATTATCAACTATGCATTCATAATCATAAACTAGTTACTGGGAACTAATTCTAAGCTGATGAACTATGCTATATATTTCTATATTATTAAAATAAAGATAATTAAGTTACTTTCGGTGTTTAATGAGATTAACATAAAAAGGATTAATTGAATAATAAAGAGTACTTATGAAAGAAGAAAAAACGAAATAAAAACAAAGCTCGAGAACCCAAAAACATTAAAGAGTGTGGAATAATTTGAAATTAAATGTAA